ATTTAATGTTTAAAAAAGAAGGTTTCTAATTCTTATGGTTGCAGGGAAAATCTTGCAAATAAGAGCTGCATGTGACCCTAATAGTTCAAAACCATAAGCCAAAATGTAATTTATACAAAAATCTCACAATACTGTATTGTTCTGATAATACCAGTAATTCTATCTTTTCTTTTCTCCAAAAGAACCCTAAATATTGTACTTAACTTATATGTGAGTTTAACTTATAATTCAGCACCTTGCAGTCTTAAATTTGCCCAAGAAGTATTGTGTATACAATAAAAATAGCAAATCCAAAACGTTATTTTCTATTTTAGTATCTGTAGCACAATTAATGAAGGCTGAGGTGGTGTAGGCACTAAGTCACAATGTTGACAGGTCACAAGTTCAAGGCCATAACAGAAAAATTCATGGCACAGCCCTGTCAGATTTCAACGAATCTGCAAATTCTGCTAAATACCTTGTCATAAGGACATGAAAAAAGAAAGAAATACAATTAATGTTTTAGATCTTTTCCTTGGTTATTTGTTCAATTAATACAATTGAACTTCATAAGGGTAATAGGAGTTCAAGGCTTTTATTTGCAGTAACTGACATATAGTCAGAAAAAAAGCTACTTTTTTGCAAAATTGAAAATGATACTATGGAGTCAGTTTATATGCAGGACTAACAACATCAGAACAATATGATATTAAGAAATTATTTATAGTTTTAGGCCAACCTCATGCTATTTTGGGGATATGAATCAATTTGTGAATGCTTGGGTTCGACTACACTGGCAGGGTCTCTTTAAGATTCTGGTCCCACAGCAAAAAGCCCAGCACATAAGGAAGCATTTGGAATTTTTCATTTTTGATAATCAGAAGTAACAGGAAATGGAAAAAACAGGGTTTTTTCTTAGCATGAAAGAATTAATTTTAGCAGAAAGAGTACCGCTCTTTAAATTCAGCCTCTCTTTCCTCTATAGCCACATTTGTAGGGATAGATAACACAAGGTTAACATGGCCCCAATCCTGTTTGCATTACAGCCTCCACTGCTGCTGGCTCTAGTGGTGAATTCTAGTTTGAGTTTAGAATACAGAGCTACTAAACAACAACTTCCTGGATGGTATCATCCCTTACCCCCCTCATCCAAGAATTATCTTGTGTGAACATTTTAAATACATGTCACCACAAAGGACCCATATGGCATAAACACTACTGCTGGAGGCAATGGGACTTCTCACACCAGCACATTTCCTTATGTGCATTAAGGATGTATATATATCCATGCCCAATACAACTTGTCTCAAAACTTAATCTTGAGCATTTCCTTCAAAGAGGTCCAGTTACAGAGGTAAACATCCCCTTCAATGCAAGAAGGGAATCATTAGCAAGCCCTTCTAAGTGTGGTTTTCCAGATGTGACAGCAAAGGAGGTCTTCCATAGCTCTGCCCTTGCTAGAGGACAGGCTGCACCTTCCAGGCCATATGCACCCCACAACAATACAATCTGGTTATCCAGCGAACTGGCTGCTTTGGGTAGGAGCTAAGGGGCAAATCAAGCAATGACCCAGTTCTGCTAACCCTGAAAATAAGATTATTTTTTGCAACAGCCTCTAGGATGCACACACTAGTCTGTGAAGGCTGAGATGTTGGCTGTAATGAGCTTTGTGAGGCCAGCATGAGGCTTCCCAAAGGAATGCTGGGCTCAGACCATCACTCTCTGGCTAGGAATAGACATTCAAAAAGCCTGAGCTTGAATTGATTCAATCTTTGCATGCTAGTCTAATCCAGTATTTCCCAACCTTTTCCAGCCCAAGGCACACTTACATTAATAAAAATTTTCCATGGCACGCCTATTAAGTCATTCCCCGTTTCCTTACTTATGAGCTCATTGTAGGTCACTGCCATGGCACAATTCTGTGGCACAGCTGTTTAGAGGTTCACAAACTGTGTGTGCCCTACCACTATCACATGCGCAGTAGATGAATTTCCTTCTGCTTGGCTGGTCCTCTCTCTCCCCAACAGCCAACACATGACTGAGTCTTCTGTAAATGTCTCATTGACATGGCTTATTCGTTAGTGCTAGGCTGCTGGAGAACTTTCTTCTCATTTTCCCAAAATTCTCGTGGCACACCAGGGAGCTCTTCAAGGCGCACCAATGTGCCATGGCACACCAGTTGAAAAGCACTGATCTAACCTACAAGGCTTGAACTGATTTGGAGGTGGATAGACATTCCCTTCTCTGTACAGAAATGCAGGCACGTGCCTGCAGTGGCTCAGGCTAGAAGCCAGGGGGTGCTAGACCAGCCCTCCCTTCCCTTCCCTTCCCTTCCTCAGGGCTGAGTTGAGCGGGGTGTGGCCAGGCCTGGACAGGATGCTGTGATTAGGGAGGGGTCCCACCCCTTGATAACAGAGCATTTATCAGCTCTGTTATCAGCATTTAACACCCCGTCAGAAAACAAAGCATTGCTCATTACAAGCTCTTCTTAAACAGCTTTTCCAAAGGAAAGAATGCAGGGACATTACCATCTGAGCTGTTGATTGGCTCCAAAAAACCTTAAGTGGACACTGTCCTATCTGCCTTACACAGGATTAGCTAGCATACTACATGCTGACTATAGTCTGTGCTATGGGAGAGAGGAGGAAGGGATCTCTACTTTAGCAGCGAGTGGTGAGAGGGGGGAAGGAGGTACAGGGAAGCCAGCAGACCCTGCTGTGCCTGAAAGTCTTTGCCAGAGCTGCAGCCAGGGAGCAAGAGGGGAGGGGCGAGCTCTGTTGAGCAGAGAGCCCTGCCCAACCCAGAGAGCATGCTGGGATGCTGGGGGTGTCTAGTTTAGCTTAAACCAGCAAAGGGTCTGGGATAGACATTGTATAAACCAGTTTGAGCCAAATCAGCTAAGTCTGATACTACATTCAACCAGGTTTATATCAAACTGGTTTCAGCCATTTTCAAACTGGTTTATGTGCACTGAATATCTGTTCTGTTACAGGTTTAAACCAGTTTCTGAGCACTTAAACCAGTTTATGTGCAATGCCTGTCCCTAGTCTTAATGGATGGCATAAATCAGGGGTGGCCAAAATGTGGCCTGCAGGCTGGATGCAGCCCGCTAGGCCATTCTATCTGGCCCATGGGGCCCCTAAAAAATTTAGAAAATGAATATTTATTTGCCCCTGGCTGCCTGTCATGCAGCCCTCAATGGCTTGCTAAAACTCAATAAGCGGCCCTCCACCAAAAATAATTGCCTGCCTCTGGCATAAATTGATGCATGATTCATTAATAAAAATAGGCATTGGCCTATTCTGCAAAGGGTCTTGTCCTGTTCACTGAGGCTCCACTCTTGAGTTCCTAACAACACCTCCTCTTCCTGGATAGGGTTTGCTAGACCCTATGGAAGATTAGCAGCTTTTCCACAATAAGCACAGGTCACTTGGGAACATTAAAGAGCCCTGCTGAAGGGTTGCTCTGGGAGCTGGAGACTGAAAAGGAACCTTTCTGTTGTGTAACAGTCTTATTTTGTACATTCAGATGTTATGTTCCTGGGAAATGAAGGCCTCTCCATCCTTAACTTGCTGCTCGTGAGGCAGTTAAAGTGTCAGCATTTCTTTTTCATGCAAGTCACAAGATCATAATATTGTTTTCCTGACTTTATCATACTTGATCCATATAGGCTTCTGGGAGGCATAAAAGGGGAACAGAAAATGCAGTGTCTTACAGAAAGAGCATGAATCACTTCTTCCACAAAGAATTTCAAGACTGACTGCATCCAGTGCCTTTATATAATTTAAACTTTGGGCTGATAAAGGTGACAAGAAAAGAGCACAGCAAACCACGCAAACAAGCAGGCAACATCTGGACAAAAACATCTGTCTGGACAAAATTAACCCACTTCCTTTTGTCTCAACTATAGTGATTTGGTCTGTCCACATGTCACATGCAGGGCACTTCCAACAGTGCAACACCTTCAGTCTCAAGTGCCCACTGTCCTCCTCAATAACCAATGTTTTGGTAGCACAGTAAAAGCAAAAATGACACGCAGCAAACTTCTGTATTTTAAATTCAAGATGCAAAAGTTTCCCTTCAAACCACTCCCTGAACTTAAGCTGCTGAGTTATGATGCCAAACAGCACTCTTGGCATACACAAAGACAAGGCTCAGCAGTATTTTCCAACAGAGGCTAGAATGACCCACCTCAGGTCTAAAACTTATGGGACATAACCATCTCCACCGCTTCTCTTTGTCACTCAGCTGTGGCATGGTGCAAGGAGAGCTCCCTCTGCTGAAGTCTTGGGCACTCAACTGCAGCATAGCTCAGAGACAGATCCCTCTCTACTGAAGCCCTTGGTGCCCAGCTGTGGTACAGCATGGGCAGAGCCCCCTGCTGCCAAATGCTGCTGAAGCCACAGTTTTACAGGCCAGGTCCAAAGGCTATGCAGGCCATAAGTTGTGGACCCCTGCTCTAGCAGCTGAAGAACCCCCTTCAGCCTAAATCAGGGGCAAGCCTATGGAACTAGCCTGGAGTTCATCCATACCAGGAAGATTTGACTTTGATCCGACTCCCTTGCCACATGCCTCATCATCATTTTCATTCCCAAAATGGGTGCAAAAAGCCTACTAAATCCAAACTCCTCCTTCAAAGCTCTTGCCCAAGCCTTCCAACATAGGCAAACACATGACACCTAGTGCCTTAATGCTATGCTAGAGATGAGATAGAAATAGTTGTGGTCAAACAAGTTTCCCAGGTTTGCAGTTCTCTTTTAAGACAAGAATAACCCAAACTATTATTGCAACTGCTGTTACTTACGAAGGTAGAGCCAAGAACCAGGCTCTGCTGAGCTAGACACTGTACAAATACATAGGAAAGAGACCACTTCATGATGGGAGCACTGGGAACAGCAAGCCAGCAAGAAGGGTAGCAGTCACAGCACCCTGGCTGCTTAATCAGAGCTGGGACTCCTGTCAGCACTACATTATACTTTAACTATATGTTCAATTGCTACTGCTATGTTTTTCATACTTACAGTTAACTTGGAGTTCTGCCACTGATGCAAAATCTTGTAGCCCTGCAGCTCACCATGCACTGGCCCAATGGGTGGCCTGACCCATCTGATTTCCAGGGAGGAGCTGGACTCATTGAATGACACTGTTACATTCAGAGGTGGAACAGATGGGGCTATAAGAAACAGAGAGATCCCAGAGTTAAAGGGGAGAACACCAGGCAAGCAGGTCCATCACCAGTTGCAAGGGTGTGACAGGCTCCCAGGTCAAAGAACCAGACCTGGGACGCTCAGTGTCAGGGATCTGCATGTCTCGTATGGGGGCCTGATCCTACAGCATGTTCTACTGAAGGGCAGCAGTACTTCTCCAGGAGCTCACAACAGGGTAGTGCTCCTTCTGGAGTTAGCTTCCTTTCCAAGCCCTTCTCCCTACTAAGGGTGCCAGAACTTTGTTCAACAAGGGCCAGATCCTGCCCTCTCCCTTCACTCTTACAAGACTGCACCTTAGATGCATCAGGGTTTGGAACTGCACCGAGAGGTCAGTGGGCTGGCCAGACACTACACCTACTAGCCTTTTACCACCCTAAGCACCACAATGCACAGCATGGAAGGAACTCCCATATTTTTTGCTCTGTGCAGCATGTGCTGAGCTGAGCATATGCTGTCTCTTTAAAAGATTGAATCTGACAGCCAAACAACTGACATCCATGGAGCAGAAGTGGGCCTTAAAATAACAGTAGAGTCTGTCTGACCAAGGACTGAATTTACCACACCCATTGTGGGATTACTGATACCCACATCAGATCAACAGGAGCATAAAATACACCTGGATTACAGAGGAGAGTTCACACTGACTCCCCAATGGAGTAAATCACTTCCCAGGGGGAACTGGTGAACAGTGCTCAAATACCTTTCTCAAGCTGCTCAACTGAAATGTAGCTGAGTAGGAATCCTGTTCTCCTCCCTGCCCCTCTGAACAGGAAGGATAGGACTGGGCCCTAGCTGCCCACAGCAGCATAGGAGTCACTCCTCCTGGAGTGGAGAAAGAGGTTCCCTGCTGTTTCTAACATTGAAATTAGCCAAAAACTACAGCAATACTCAATTAACCAAACAATCTAACTGTGCCGCAGGGCAGTGAAATAAGACATATTACCAGGACTGGTTAATATACAGCAAAATTGCAGAAGAAAGGAAGACTTGATTAATGGAACACTGAGACCATTAATAAAGAGAGAGGGTCATTAACACCTGTGGAGTGAAGAGAGATTAACAGGAATCAGGTTGATTATAATGAGCCACTAAGTCAAGTGACTCCCTCACTGCTGCCTGAATAGAAATGCTGATGCCCCTCCCAGACAGTGGGTTTTAAACTTTGGTGAAGCAGGAATCAAAGCAGGGTGCAGCTACATCACTGCATGTTCCCACTGGATCCAGCCCTGGCCCTGCTCCTGCTCCCACTGGGACCACATAGACCTCCACTTCAAATCTCAGTGCTGCAGGAAGGGGAATTGGTTCAGCCCACACATTCCCAATGCAAACTACAAACTAGAGCTGCCTCTTGTGCTGCTGGGCAAGCTGTCAGTGCCCCATAAACCAATGTAATGCCTTATGGATAGGACCCTAGTGGATTCATGGCAGAAGTGGGCTGCGCTGCAGCTCCTTTAATTTTGCAGGTTCTCCCGCATGCCCCCCTCCCCGCAATGCTGATTTGTGGAAGAGCCCTGCTTGTGGCTCACTCCTGATTGCAGGGACGCGAAAACCATGATTTAAAACATGGTGCCATTTTTGCCACCCCATTGCTGATTGGCCAAGGGGTCCTAGTGGCCCTGCTGCTTGCTGCCAACTGGTGGGAAGGCAAAAATGGCGCTATGTTTTAAACTGTGGTTTTCGCTTTCCTGCTAATGGGGAGGGCATATGGGGGAACCCGCAAAATTAAAGGAGCCACAGTGCAGCCCATTTCTGCCATGAATTCAGTAGCGCCCTACTTATGGAGAGCTGGAGAGCACCCTACATTGCACAGATTTCCTTCTCTACATATCAGCTGCTCTTTTCCTACCTCCTTCAGTTGTGCTGGCTGGAATCCAGGGGCTAAATGCAGACCAGCCAACCTCATTCATACAGGAAACACGAACACTATAATCCACCATGGGCAACAGCTGCTGGATGTGATACAGATGAGGCGGTGCAGAGATGTTGTAGATCATCAGTGAGCCATCACTTTGTGGAACAGCTTCCTTGACCTACATAGAAAATCAGTTCATAAACAGGGATTAGTCAGCAACAACCTTCTGTATCAGAAGCATGGTGGGAATTTTAAGCCTGTAAACAGGATTCAGAAGTCTGACTCTCTTTCTCCCCTTTCTCAGAACAATAAGCATGGAGGCAGCTGTTCTTTTCTTGATGCTGCCTCAGCCCACATGGAAGAGAGATTTGGGGAGGAAGACACTAATGACAGCCAGGCCTCAGACTCTAACCTTGCATGTTCATCTTGGAGGCTCACAGATGAACAGCAAAAATAATACATATTTTGTATGCACCCATGTTAACAAAGGAAGACACATAAAACATAATAAAGCAGCAACTTTAAGATGATCACAGTTGGCACTGAACACCCACTCTCAAATGTCAGTAAGAGGCTCCCAAGTTCACCATGAGTCAGAGAAAGTTGTTTGCTATTAATGATCCCAATATTTTATGGATGTGAAAAAAGAAGCATACTGCTGACTTCTGCACAAATTACAGAACATACTAGGCAGATCTGTGTAAAAGATCATGTTCCCTGCACTGAGTTCCTTACCAAAAAAATAAGATGAAAGGCATCTTTCAGACTGTTCAATTAACTGGGGGAGAAGTCCTGATGAGATCAGCCATAACACAAAGCACACACAGTGGGGTCAGACAGAAACCCAGAAGGATCAGGATTCTTCTCTTGAACTTACAAGTGTTCTACTCACTGGCACCCTGCAGTGTCAACAGGCCCTGTCACCCAAAGATTTTGCTCACATGCCTATCCTTAAAGTGATGGCATGAGCCAGCCTACCAACATCCTGCTCACAGGGAATCTCTCTAGCTCATTGCTACCAATCTATGATCTCTCGTGCACTTTCAAGGTGAACTGCAAGTAAAGGGAATTTGACTGATATAATTTACATTACTACATACAGAATACCAGTGAGCTTATACTAAATAAAAATGGAGTCAAATGCTGTATTTGAACCAATGCCCATAACTTTGATAAAAGTAAATGGAAGATGGCTGCATATGGTAGCATATGTCAGTGTTCAATTTGGCTTACAAAATGAAAAGGAAGCTCATATCAATAAAACACTCAATGAGAATATCCATACTTTGGATATTCAATGAGAATATCCAAAGTAGATCTAGAATGTTTGATCAGTGACCAAAAGAACATACAAATGGATGCTCAAGACACAGCTGAGACTGGTCTTCATTGTGAATTCTACATGCATCTGTGTTATCTCAACTCTAAATGTTTCCTTCCCAAGAAGATGGTTGTACCTGGATCCTTCAGAAAAAGAACAGGTAACTCCACTTTTGAGGGATGTCACAATGAGAGCATCCTATTTAATCACTGGCCTGTTAAAGAATTAGCTACACTGTTGACAAGACAGTGCTCAGCTAAGCCATCATGAATATTTCAGGGGGCAGGAGGAAAATGGCTTAGTCACAGCAGTGTTTCTGCCAGGAATCACGTCTTGTTTTCTGATTTAAAAAGCTATTTTCTAAATGCAGGTCATGATAAGCAAGTCATAGGAAATCCTTTGACCTTCCAGCCCATTGCCTGAGCTTCAGTAGGAAAGTACCACTGGATATGCTATTAGATATTGTTATAACACTTATATGAGACTTATTATCTTTCTCCACAGGATGCTTTCCATACCCCCTTTCACTTTCATTATACTTAACACACAGTGTCTCCAAGATGGTATCAGAGAAAGTATCATTTAAATATAGGTAAAGGGGAGATAACTGAGAGGAAATGGAAAGAGGCAGTGTGTCTCACTCACTCATTTCATGGTATATCCTGTTCAAAACTCACATTCATCAGCAGGTGTTAAAAAAGCTGTGACTCATGAGCAGGCAATGGAAGGCTGAACATTTGACTTAACCAGTTCTGAATATCTAAGTACTAGGCATTCCCAACAATGCCACCTAGAACCAAAGGTTCTCTCTGTGGCATAGCATTGGCTTTTTAAAAATAACATTCTGCACAATGTAAGTTCTAACCAAACAACACTTTTTGTTAAAATGTGCAACTTGAAAACCTATTTCCTAAGATAAATGTTCCCTAACTAAGAAGTTTAAAAAATATAGGATTTATAAATTTTAACATTCCTAATAAAAGGCAACAGAAAAGTTACTGTAATTGCTTGATTTCCAAGATGAGTCATCCCCCCCACATTTCCCCCTCATTCAACATGGGGAAAAAACTACCTCATCTTGGATTTGAGCACAAGGGTAGGAGTAAGTTGCAACCATTGCTCTGCCCCCCTGCCACAGCTTCTGCACCCCCTCCAACACTTCTGCCCTGCATCATCTCCACCCTGACACCACCCTGGCTGCCTCTGCTCTGTGCTGTCCTGCCTTGTGTCCCTGCCACCACTGCTCCTTACCCTGAGTTGCAGCTCTGCATCTGGCCACAATTTAGCCCAGGGCTTGGAGAACATGGGTGCTCCAGGCCCTTCCAGGCCAAGAAGTAAGCATGGTGAGGGAGTGGGCAGGCACAGGAGAATGCAGGATCAGGGGGGCAGGCTTCAGGGAGCACAAGCACTGCAGTGGGAGAGCTGCCTGGCAATTGGGGGGGGGTGGTGGGAAGAGCAAGTTTTAGGGGACAAGGTGCGGGGGGGGGCAAGGCTGCCCGATTCCTCTGCCACTTGCCTCCTACCATTTCTTTCCCCACTGCTAGTTAAATTAATCAATTATAAGATAGCTTATTAAAAAAACAGTAAAACATAGACTTGGATTTGGAACTCTCTTGAACTTCAAAGACAGGATCAAAATAAATGATTGTCTATACTCGGCCAATCAGTCATCAGGAACAAACCTCCATTTACTGTACTTCTTTCCATCGTCCTCAAGGCTGGAGAGGTATGAAATGCCTCCACTGTTAAATCCCACAATAGAAACTGGGAATCCAGGAGGGAGTTCCATTGGCTTTGAAAACTAGTTCACTTTGGGGTGTTTGATCATGCACAAAAAAAGAAGAAATGCATCTTGAAAGCAACAGTGAAAAAGTTGTACCTGCTACCTTGAATTCTCTTCATGAGCCAGATGTGTCGAGGGCATGTTACAGAGCATTAAAAGCTTTCTTTTTCCAATTACAATAGTAGCAATATGTTACTTTAATGGAAGATTTGCTACAGTGCTAATCTGTGAATGTATCAAGCAGACATTTGAGGAAGAATTCTATAGTCCTTTTTGTACCTAAACGACACTTATCCAAGCCACGTAAGTAATGTTTTTTACCCTTACACACAGTTTGTGATTCTTTACAACTTCAGTGTGGATGTGTGCAGTAGACTACACAGGTATGCAGTTACTTATGTACATTAAGTCCTGGGTAGGACCTTTATCTTTCTGACTTCCCAGCACAGAATGTCTAGCCACCAGACCACTATCCAGACCTCTGTCCGATCACTTATCCTTGCTTTTAATAGTCTCTGAATAAAATCCATGCATAACAGTGCAATGAGGAAGTTTCTTTCCCATTAGGAACAAAGGCCCAGACTAGAATGCAGCGTCCTCCTTCCTTCCAAGGTAGCAGCCATCCCATTAGACCACCAAACCCCTTGCTCCACACAGCTCCCTCTCTTGGTGCCCAGGGGGCCAGCTTCAAAAGGAGGGCTAGAGAGGGAACTGAGAAATGCCTGACCTCCATTAGAGTGCTGTGCTGGAAAGCCAGAGAAATGCAGGTTCAAAAACCCTTTGGGAGAGGGATGAGAGGTCATACAAGCTATCTATCCTGCTTCCTGGGAAAGTACTATAGTTACTCAGCTATCAGGATTCAAACACAAGTGATCCCTCCTTACCATACCCACCAGTTGTGGGTTTTTTGCCATGTGGAAATCTGTGACTTATCTATGCCAAGTATACATGTGTATACTGAAGTCTGCCACATGGAATGTCTGCACTCTCATGGACTCCCCAGATAGTAAGCATCCTGAAAGAAGAACTACCATAGTGGCTAAAGAACTTGCAAAATATGACATTGATATTGCTGCCCTAAACGAGACCTACTGGGCAGATGAAGGCCAGCTGAAAGAAGAAGGAAGTGGCTTAACATTTTTCTGCAAAGGGAAGTCATTTGAAAAGAGGCACATTCACAGGGTTGGCCATGCCTCAAGAACAAGATTGTCAGCCAGCTTTCAGAACTCCCTGTCAGCATTAATGAACACCTTATGACTCTCTACCTCAAGCTCAATAACAACCAGTATGCTACAGTGGTCAGTGTATATGCCCCCACGCTTGATGAAGAAGTCACATTAGAAGGACATTAAGAACCAGTGGTGGCAAATGAAGGCCATGGAGATCCAGAGTTTTGCTGATCAACATGACATGAGAAGCTTCTTTCAAGCAATAAAAGCTATCCACGGACCATGTTCCAATGGCCCAACCCCTTGGCGATCCCAGGATGGCTCCAACCTCCTCTTGGACAATGTAACCATCAAGCAATGCTGGAAGGAGCATTTCAAGACTCTACTCAACCATGAATCTGAGTCTCAGCTGCCACCATTCAGTCCATCCCTCAATACCCAATAATAGAACCTCTTGCTGATCCCCCATCCTTCAAGGAAGTCTGGCATGCCATCACTCAGACCAAGAACAGTAAGGAACCAGGCCCAGATGGCATCCTTGCAGATGTCTTCAAAGCTGGTGGAACGGCACTAGCACAAAAATTTCACCAACTTCTCATCAAAATATGGGTTAATGAGGAAGTTCCACTTGACTTAAAAAATGCCAACATTGGGCATTTTTACATGTGCTCCAGGAAGCATGGGGAGGCGCTTTAATTACTGAGCTGTGCTAATTAAAAGTGCCCAATCATTGTGTGGGGCACTTTGAACTAAAGCTCATTTGACGAGCTGTAATTCAAAGTGCTCCACTGCCATTTTTCAGTGTGGGGATGCTGATACACAAGGTACTAGAGTCTGCTGGAGCATGTTAATTTCAGTGCTCCAGCTGACTTGATTAATTGAGTGTACTCCAACATGCTGGATTTCCAGTGTGTTGGAGCAGGCTCCCTGCACACATACAGAAGCCCATTGTGACCATCTTTAAGAAAGGGGAAAAGTCAGCGTGTGGGAACTACCAAGGCACTGTCCTCCCCTCTTGCTGGGAAGATTCTTACTCGCATCCTTCTGAATTACCTCCTCTCCCTTGCCAAAGATGTCCTTTCAGAATCCCAGCATGGCTTTAGACCATCTTGGGGTACCACTGACATGATTTTTGTTCTACGACAGATCCAGAAGAAGTGTAGAGCACAACACCAGGAGCTGTTTATGGCATTCATTGACCTACCCAAGACCTTTGACACCATCAATTGTGAAGCCTTGCAGAAGGTGATGGCTAGGTTTGGTTTTCCACTGAAGTTCAGTGGACTCCATGACAGGATGACCGCCACAGTCCTTTGCAGTGGATCAGAGACAGACCCATTTACTATCTGTACTGGTGTCAAGTAGGGCTGTGTCATCGCCCCAACCCTTTTTTCCATCTATCTTGCTGTGATTTTGATTCTCATCCATGACCACCTTTCTCCTGGAATTGGGCTTGAGTATCGAATGGACGGTCAGCTTTCCAACCTGCAGCGCCTTCACAGCAAAATGAAAGTTACCAAGACTGGCATCACTGACTTTCAGTACACTGACAACTGTATTATCCTTGCGCACACTGAGACCAATCTACAGTCCACCTTTTCTCAGGTGTCTATCACAGCCTGGGACTCTCCCTTAACATTGGAAAGACGAAGGTACTCCATCAGCCTGCTCCAGCAGTTATCCCCATGCTTCTCTATGGGTGTGAGATGTGGCTGACATATTGAAGACATCTTAAGTGCCTGAAATGGTTCCATCAGCGTTGCTTCAAGAAAATTCTTCATATTAGATGGGAAGACCACTACACCAATGCCAGCATGTTCTCTGCAGCTAACAAAACCAGCATTGAGGCAAAGAACATGAAGCATCAACTCTGCTTGGCTGGCCACTGTGTGCAGATGGCTGACACTCATCTCCCAAAGCAAGTCCTCTTCTCTCAACTCAATCATCATAAGAGGACCCATGGAAGACAGAAGAAGAGCTACAAGGACACCCTGAAAGCATACCTTAAGAAGGGTGGCATCAACCCTACAAATTGGGAAGTGCTGGCTGGTAACAGGTCTCAGTGGTGCTGCACCATACATCAAGCCCAATTCGAAGAGAACTGTCTTGCTCAGGAAGCCAAGAAATGACAGAGGAGGAAGAAAAATGCACAATATCCTGTCCAACAGTGGTGCCCCCACTAAGGCACCACTTGTCATGTCTGTGGAACAACTTGCAGAGCACAGATTAGACTCCTCAGACACCTTAAAACTCACCAGTAATTCCCCCATCCCCCCAGCAGACATCATCCTCCTATCAGGGGATAGTTGATAAAAAAAAAATGTAACCGAGTGCCTGTCCTGACAGTACATGGCCTACTGAGCATGCTCAGAAGCTGTGTGGACACTTAAATGTTTGCAGTGCATAGAGAACAGAATCACACACTGTGTTCAAGGGCCAAAAATGCCACTTATGCAGCTGGAAAACTGCCACTTAGTTGTGTAAAGTGAAATAGGATTCAGGCACTTGTGTCTCAGGATCCTCCACAGCCTGACACTCACTTCCTGTTCTTTCTGCCCTGTGCCTACCCAAAAGGTCAGACTGAGTGCTGGCATAGTAACAGAATGGCTGTGGCACAAGCATACAGGTGCTACTGCCCCTTTTCCTCACAACTATGGAATAAGGAGCGATGAGGAGGGAGCTGTGCTTGAGGCCTGGCAGAAAGGTACCTGCCCTGCAGACATGTCCTCACTGTCCTTTCCCAAGGATAGAGATGGAGACAGGTATGTATACTGTTCAGTACCCTGGGCCTGTGTGTTGGCTCACCAGGACCCCAAATGCAGCTGAACACTGTTATGCAAAGTATCTACCCACCCCCATGTGACAGATCTGCAGTGCTACAGCTGCTAGCAAAGCTGCTGTGGCTACAGGGCTGGGGCAGGACTCACTGCTTCACAACCTGCGTTCAGCTGCTCCAGGTGAAATGTGAGCCTACAGTGGGGTGTTCACAATGCACTGATTAAACATTAACACAAGCTGAGGCCAGTCATAGAGCAGTATGACCATTAACTCACATCGTCTTAGGAATCATAGGATCATAGAACAGTAGGACTGGGTGGGACCTCACAAGACTATACAGTCCAGGCACCTGGTCAAGACAGGATCAACCCTGACTAAACCATCCCTGGCAAGTGTCTGTCTCAACTACCCTTAAAAACTTCCAAGGATGGAGATTCCACGATTTATCTAGGTAGCCTGTTCCAATGCCTGATCACCCTCATGGCCAGAAAGTTCCTCCTAATCTCTAACCTAAATTCCCCCTGCTGAAACTTGAAGCCATTGGTCCTAGTCCTGTTCCCTATGGTCACAGAAAAAAGCTCATCTCCATCCTCTCTGAAATCAGCCTTCAGGTATTTGAAGACTGTTATCACAAAACTATAATCTTCTCATACTCTTCCAGTGAACTGGCCCCAGTGGGCTAGAGCACAGAGCAGAGCTCCATTTCTCAAGCAAGCTAAAGACAGCAGCCCAGGGAGCCATATTCTTCAGCACCCAGGATTCCCAGATAACATGATTACTATCTTGGACACTGGAGTTAGTGCCCCAGCATAGGATTCCTCCACAGGTACCTCCTGCTTTTAACGTGAACTCCCTGGGTTTGCATCAGCTCAGAGAGAGCAGCTGCTGATCTTTGCCCACTGGCAAGATGCCAAAACACTGGCATCTCTTAACTAAATTAAGTGGTAATTACGTGAGCGCTGATGTGGGAGCTGCCACCACCCTGCATCTGACCTCATATAACCCTTTTAATGTCTTGCCCTTTCTAAACTTTTCATGCCTCCCACTGTGACACAATGCACAAATGCAAGACAGCTTTTCTCTGAGTGCTCAGATGTGGAGAATTGCTACACACCAGCTCTGATGCCTCACTGGAGACAGTGACACCATGTAGCAGGGGTCTCATGCTTCACAAACCAAGCTCCTCAGAGCCACAGATGAGGCACTGACTGCCCTTTCTGTTGGCTGCTGTCCTGGTGCACTGCTCTCCCACTGCACAGCTGTATTATCATATTGTGACTCAGGCACAGTTGCTGGAGGCTTCCACCAGCGCTTGAAAATAAGGGATTTACTGCAGTTTTCAGCCTGTTTTCCTCATTGCACTGGGTTGAAGTGGGAGCAGGGTTTCTCCAACTCACACTGCCAGGCAGCATGGGGCTCTCTCAGCCCTGGTCTTCGCTCCACTGGGACATGCAATGTCACCACACCTGCCTTTTTGGCAGTTCCTACCACAACCCCCCTGTACGTCTCCGGCTCACTGACAGCCTCCCTAACATCAGGCTCCAGCTGAAAGGGTGCATTCCCCCTTGATGAGACTTGGGCAAAGGTCCCTTTCAAGCTAAAAGTATTTCCCACCGATCTCAGCAGGACAGCTTGCTACACCCCTCCAACCTGCTCTCCCCTCCCTGGAAAATTGCCATGGCCACTTAGCTTCTAGGAGTCTTGTGGTGTCAAGATTCATGCTCATATGCCACTCCTGTTCAGTTAGTCATCATCTAGATGTATGTTAGCACGTGGACTTTCTCTACAATGAGCAGCTTTTCAAGACACTGAGCAGCTACAGCCTGAATGACATGGATGACACACAGATGGCTCAAGTGTGAAACAATCAACTGCAGCATAATTACTGGGTATTTCCTGGTGAACAATACCTGTAGATTCCAGATCTTCAACTACGCTTTACTGGAAGAAGAGGCATCTGCTGGCCCCAGGCCCATCCTTTTGCTCATATACCCAGCTACTGCCCCAGCTACAGGAAACAGGCTGTCAATCCCTCACAGACCCTGCTCCATGCTGCACACAGAGCTGGAGCCTAAATGATGCCTGTCTGGGGTCTGTCCCCTTTCCTTGTTCCCTCAGATATTTTGGACAGAGGGCTCAGTAATATGCCTGCTATGCAGGCCAGGCACACTGCTGGTGAACACCTCTGGATGCAACCTGCTCACATCGTTGGTAGTCCCTCGATACAAGGATGAGTCTTCCAGTTCAGTAAAAGTGCAACCCACCCCTGTCGTGAACACAGGAGTGCATTCCTATCACATCCCTGCTCTGTCCCATGCCATTACAACATAAGGCTGACTAGAAGCTACACAGATTACAAATACAGGGACCATGAGCTATATAAAATAGTTTGCATGGATTTCACAATGGCTTTAGCAAATTGTCATTAAAGCATGTGCTAACCTCTCCCCCGCACCCCCCCAAAAAAACCCAACAACAAAAAACACAACAACAACAAACCCAACCTGGTTTGGGGGTGAAATGGGGCCTTCTAGGGATCTCTAATGAAGCATCACCTTTCCTTCTTTTACTGTCCCCAATCCATGAGCCTCCCCTGGGGCAACACTGGCCTGTCCTGATCACCACAACCTCACAATCGCTATGACATACTTGATGAGATTGTGTACTGCACACCACTAAGCATCAAATATCTGATCACCAGGGACCTTCTGGCATCAACTCCATAAAATCATCAGGGCTAGGACCCTTGTGTCACCTCAAGCCACCTCCCCATCAAGAGGAGAGATACCTGGCTTGCCAGGTGCCCCACACAGACAAAACACATATCCCATGCCTGAGCCAATCACAGTCCTTGCCCCAGGTGGAAGAGGACCCCATGTTCTGATTTGTTAAACATATGCTCCCTGCAATCAAGCCAGCCTTGCCCAAGGGCTCTCCCCAGATGCCCAGAAGCAGACAGGCAGGCCCAAAAAGGATTGATTTCCTGTGTGCAGCCTCTCTCTGAGGCCTCCTGCAATGCACCATATAAAGAATGAAGACAGGGTATAAGTGCTTACCTGAACACTGCAGCTGTTGAAAGGAGAGTAGCCATCAAAGCCTGGGATCCAGGCAATCAAAATGTCATGGGCTGATCTGTTCAGGGCATGCACATTCATGGGTGGAGATGGTATTCCTACAGGAAAAAGTCAGGCGGGTTCAGATCTGGTGTACCTAAATGCTATCCTTGATGAACACAATGCTTATCTCAGGTAGCAGGCAGGCATCAGGCTGCAGTTCAAAAAAAGGGATTTAGGCATTTGTGTGGGCAGGGAATACCACTAATTCAGTAAAGAGGAGGCCTGCAGGAGACTCTTGCCTCACTACACAGGAATAGGCTCAGCCTTCTTCATGGTGCCAGCTGGCTGCTTTGTGGTACAAGGGAGACACTCACAACCAGCAGAGTCCAGAAGGCAGATTCAAGTAGCAATATCCAAGTCATGCAGAGAGGTGGAGAACCACATCACCCCAAGGTCTCCCCTGGCAGCTCCAGGCACGGTGGATGTCCTGCAAATGCTCATTCTCTGCAGCAGAGGTGCTTTATGCAAGCTCATGGGCATCCAGGCAATTTAGAAACTGTACATCCTCATGATGTCACACAATTAAATGTGTTCGGAAAGCTGTATTCCCTCCAGACCCTTGAAAAGCAGCTCTTCTGGCTGGGTATCGCTGATCTACTGCACATGCCAGGTCAGAACTGCACAAGCAACACAGAAACTTGGTTGGATTTAGTGTCTGACAGTCTGAAATATATTTATCCTCATGGACACACCACTCAGAGGTAGGGGATGAATTGCTTGACTCAGGGAGGGGGCAGATAGGCTGGCTGAAGAGATATGGAAGGTGTTATAATAGAGCATGGCAGCGGAGATGCCAAATGGTGGGTTTGAAGGCACAGAGAAAGCTGCAGGAAGTGACAGGGGGGCTGTCACTTGAACAGGTGCCATCTCTTGGGCCCATTGGCAACTCTTCTCACCAGCAGTCCTGTGCTGGGTCCAACAGCCAGGAAATGTTCCCCTCTGGGGGAAAAGGACAGGGTAAAAGGCAATACACTTGCCAAGACAGTAATTTAACAAAGAAGGGCCTTGATTTCCTATTATCTTGGGCTGTACCCCTGGTACTGACACTGGAGAGAGCTGGGAGTAGCTCTTACCATGCTCTGAACTTCTCTCATGAGCCAGAATAATCTGTCTCCCTTTGCACAGGGCATCCAGTCCTGACACTGCTCCATCCCATCCCTCCTGGACCCAGCTCCCTGCCACCACAGTGCTGTGGCCATCTGGGTTTGGGGTTGTCCCTAGACTCACTGCCCCCTCTGCTTGAATGTGCTGCTGCTATGAGGCCAGGGTGAATACACATGCATTGGTATTGTGAGGTGCCCCAACTCGCAGGCTAAACCATTTTAAAAAGAGGTCATCCAATTAGTTTCCCTGGAAAAATGTTGCAAGCCAGCCTGGCCTGGCTTTAAGCACATGATAGCTTCTGTCCCAGAGCTCTGTTGGCCTGCTGCAGAAGCCCTAGAGAAGTGCATGTATGTTCTTACACCGTCAAGAGCAGTGTTTCCAGCCCTCTGTGTTGGAGCAGTGCTAGTTTGAAATGCTGACAGCAGGGTAGAGAAGCTGCTGAGTGGAAGAGGACTATTTCTGGGGCAATTTGTGAGTGCCCTATGTTTGTGAACTGAAAATAGAGTTCAGCCTCGATGGGAAGTGAATGTTACATTTCAGAGAAAACTTCCCTGTGACTGCCCAAGGTGACTCCTGCAAAAGCATTTCAAGAATTTCCATAATTTCCTATGGAAACTCTGAGGTGAGGCAAGGCGTACAAAGGAAGGAAGAGAGTGATACAGCCCTTCCGAAACAGACTTTCAGTTGACAGTTCTCTTTTCAAATGAACTTCTAGGCACTTCCTGTCCGAGTGTCAGCCCTGGTGTGCACCACTGGCACTGAGGGGGCAGGGCACGGGTACTGTCACAGTAGGCCCCATGCTCTTGGCTCTCTGCGACATGTTTTTTTTCCTTTGCCAGCTCACTTGGGGTTCCTTCTGGCAGACAATGCTGAATGGGTGACCCTTCATGCTGCCACTAGAAGACCCTCTTTGAGCAGGTAAAAATGTCAGGCATTTGTTTTCTTTGCTCTTGTCACAATGGTCAGGGAGGTAAATTAAGGTGACATGCTCTACTGTGGAGGTGAGGATCTCAGGCCACAGTGTGATGCACTGTGACACTACCCACTTCCCTGGACCCTTCCATTGAAAGGGCATCCTCCAGTTCTTGGAACACTTGTGGTTTGGCTTCTCTCCTCTCGAGGAGGGGATGGAAGCACCTTCTCTCCCTGAGGAAAACAGCCCAAAGAAATGTCTGGGGGTGACTGGTGTCATCTCTGGCCCTAACACAGATATATCCTAGGTGAGAAGGACTGACATGGGTATTTGGAGCACAGCGTCCAGGAAAATATTCTCATTCCACAGTCTCCGTAGCCGCACATGGCAGTAGGGAAGAAGCCAGGCATTCTTCAGAGATGGTAGTATCAGCAGTGAGATGGGCTGCCTCTTCACTCCTTACCTTTTATGTTAATCTGCCCTTCAATTGATGTACTCAGTCCTTTTCTGTTGTGAGCTTCACAGCTGAAGATTGCTGGTTCATTAAGCCCTGCAATCAGATAATATGGACACCATGAGTGGAGAATCACAGTATGGTAACAAAAACATGATTTTTCTACCCTATTTTACTTTCAGTTTCATCCTGCTCTTGACTCAGAGTCTCAGATCACACAAAGGAACAGATTTCCAGGTGTCATTCCAATGGCCCGTGCATGCCCAGGAGCACTCCTCCAGGCACCAGGAGGGTAATTCAATAGAAAAATCAAAGCTTCTCCTGATTTTAATGCTTCTTTCTTTTCCCAGAAACACAACCAAGTTCTCTTTGCACTAACCACATCCATTTTGCCTCAGGCTGCATTTCTGCTTCAGCAGGGCATTGGGACCTAGACTGAAAGGTCAACATCCTGATTCCACTTATGGCACTGAAAGCCTCTAAAAGAGAACCAGAAAGCATAAGAGAATGAGAAGCAAGGGGTAGATCCAGTCCTGCAGGTCTTACAGCCTGTCTCAGTTCTCCGATTAAAAGTAAACCTGGATGTGGACAGTGCTCCATCTCCGATACCAGGGCACATTTCCAGGAGAGGAAATTCAAGGGAGGATCCAAGACGATTTGGGTTATTCCTTGAAGGTTGCTCAAGCCAAGCAACTCTGTGAACTGGCAGAATTACTAAGAACATAAGAATTGCCACTGACTGGGTTAGACCATAGGTCCACCTTACCCAGTATCCTGTGTCACACAGTGGCTGAGAGTGGATGCTGAAAGGAAGAATGAAACCAGGTATCAATAGGGCTTTTTCCCCACTGTTTGTGTCTCACTTGCAGCTTCCAGAATTTAAGGTCTAGGAAGTTCTAATTCAGAGACTGTCTCTCTAACTCCCATGCTCAATAGCTATTGATGCCTCGTTCCTCCAAGAATGTGTCCAATCCCTTTTTGAACTGTTAATTTCCACATCTAGTGGCAATGAGTTCCACACTTTAATTTTATATTGCATGAAAAAGAACTTCCTTTTATTAGTTTTAAACTTACTACCTACTAGTTTCATTTTCTGATCCCTACTTCTTATATTGAGAGAAACAGAGTAAAGAAATCCCTATTTACTTTTTCTTCACCACTTAGTAGTTTTTAAACTTTTCTCATGCCCCCCCTTCAAGTATCTCTTTTCTAAACTGAATAGGCCTAGCCTCTTTAGTCTTTGCCAGGGTCCAGACTTGTAATACATAGGATGGCCATGGGGATGCCTCATACAAAGTTCAGGACCTACCATCTGAAAGGGGGCACCCTGGAAAGCCACTGCTGGACTAAATTCTCAAGGTGAAGTCACCCGAGAGGTTGAAAACCCCAACCTGACTGCTATTGCCTCCAGTTACAGTAGCCTGGGGACCCTAGGCTATGTGGGGCTCATGTCACACTCAGCTGAAGCTTTTCCATGCTTCTGCACCCTCCTACATCTGCAACAAACAGGAAGTTCAGGGACTTCTATAAGAGCCCAAAGAGATACTTTATGAACACCACTCTCTTGTACTTCTCCTACACAAAGAGCACGCTTTGTCCTCTGAAGCAGGGGGCTGCCCCTCTGCTGGTCCTCTGGGTGTGACTCCCATTCCAGCATGGCAGGTGAGTGTGATGTTCCTCTCTGGGTGTGACTTTTGGGGAAATGTCTTCACACAACTAAGACACATGCCACAGCCAGCATTACACTTAGCTGGGCCGGGGGTCATGGCAATACAGCTGAAGCAGACTGGAGCTCAGGGCAGATGAACCACCTAAGTACTAATTGGCTTCCAGGGGTGGGTGGCATTGCGGGGAGTTCTGCAGCTCACACTGCACTCTGTGCTGCTCTGGCTGCACTACCCAGAGGACCCCAAGTTAGCTCATTTAAAGCTGTCTGGGATATGTCTTCTAGGCCTATACGAAGCAACAAGTATTCAATTTGGATTTGGATTCAGCCGATTTGGAGGGACAGTGATTTAATTCAGTGATTTGAATCACTGTCCTGATTCAATCTGGCCGATTCAGATTTGGAGATTGAGCACCAAGTCAGAGATTCGGCCATAGACTAGAATGGGGAATGATTTACATAGCCATAACTCTTGTCATTTTTTTGCAGATTCAGATGAAAACAGCAGGGAAGGTAGCCCCTTCTGAGGGCACGAAGCCTGCCAAGTTTCACGGAGATAGGTGCAGGGGTTTCTATGAAAGTGCTCCCCAAACTGTTAAAACTTGTATCACGTGTGTGTGTTAAGGCAAAGTGGGATGAAAACAGCAGGGATGGTAGCTGCTCGTGTGGGCATGAAGCTGTAACAAGACGCCCTTTGCCTGCACCCTCCCCACTTTGGTGCATTTCTCTTTTCATCTTTTCTCCTTCCACCTTTTCTTCCTTCCTCCTCTCCCCCTCTTCTTCTCTCCCTCCATCATAAAACATAGGTAATTAAATTACATTCTAATAAGTATTTTATAAGACATAAGCATAAGGATATAAAATTATATAGGTATTTTATAGGGTATGAAATTGTATCTTTATGAAATTACACTTAACAGGCATTTGTATAAGTATAATGTATTATTGTATTCTTATATTTCTCCCATTATCTGTCTCACTGTGCCATGGCATTTTACCTTTTATATTTCATATTTTATACTTCTAAAATTTTACTGAATGTATTTTACTTCAGAAGTAAGTTGTATCCTGTAACAATATTAGAAACCATTGTTGTAAGTGAGGAATCAAACTGCCACTCCTCTGTGTCGGGCTGATCTCTAAACGAATGGGAATGGGGTGAATGAACAAATGACAGTAATAGGCATAGTGGGCTGCGATAACAAGATAACAAGCAGTGATTAACACCTGCAGACAGCGAAAAGGAAGAAATCAATACCAGCGCTGGGAGCTCCTTTAACTCTATTGTCAGTAGTGGTGATACCTAGGGGGTGTACAGGGATGCATGTACACTCCCTGAGAGCACTGGTGCACCCCTGAAAGGCTGGACCCCCCCATTTAGGTGACAGGCAGGGGTGGCAAGTGGGAGTGCCGGTGCCCCCGCTGTGAGCACCAGTCGGGGAGTGGGAGCACCGGATGAAGCACCTCAGAAACTTCCAGGAGTGCCGTGGCCGCTTCCCAGTCAGCATGATCAGCCACTGGGGGAACCCCACCCCAGTCGACAAGATTGGCCATGGGGGGACCCCCCTGGTCGCTGACTGGTCACGATGGCGGGGGGGGAGGGGATGTGCCCCCCCCCCAAAAAACTACGGTGGCACCAGTCACCCATGATTGTCAGTGCAACAAAGTCTCCGGTTTGAGTTAATGCCGGAGACCAGTTCTTAAGACTGAATACAACCTGATCAACCGCTCCCATTCATGCCCACTCCCATTCAAGCCCCTGTTCATGCCTACGGTCACCCCATCTCCTTCCCTCTTCTGTTTGTTTGCTGCAAGCCTTCCGAATCTCTCTAAATCAATTCAGAGGCTTCCGATTCAATTTGGACCTTTTAAGGGGTCTCCCACTTCGATCTGGATTCAGAAGTTTGGCTGCTGAATTGGACCGAATCTCCTCCAAATCAAATCGGCTACCGAAGCTTCGCACAGCCCTACCATTAAGTCCACCTCCACCAGGGTCTGTTAGTTTTGTCATTCCTGAGCCATAAACACACACACTATGGCTGAGATGCTCAGTTGGTATGAAATGACATGGAGTCAATGGCCTTGCTGAGGCACACTGGCTCCTCTGCTTTTGTCAATTACCTCATAGATTCATAGATGTTAGGGTCGGAAGGGACCTCAATAGATCATTGAGTCCGACCCCCTGCCTAGGCAGGAAAG